ACTTACTTCTCTCTACACACACACACACACACACACACACACACACACACACACACACACTTAACAATGATGCAGCGATTGTAGATGGATGTTGAGGATGGGGCCCTGCTGGGAAAACAGAGGACTGAAGTGGAAAAGTTGGAGAGGTCTGTCGATTCACCCGAGCCCTGCACAGTGAGAAACCCCGCGCCAACGGTTTCACATGAAGGTGAGGTGATTGATGCGGCGATGACGGCGTCTCTTGCGACCGGGCCGCTTTTCCTGAGCGGTCGAATCTGCGCCTCTTCAAAGGCAAAGCATACAACGACGAGCCGCGCCGATCCGCCCCAGCCACACGGTATGCACGTGGTTGACGCTTTCACCCCGTGCAACCGGCTTGGGACCGAGGGCGTGACACCCAAGCCCCGACGCACACGAACCGTGTCGGCGTCGACGAAGCCCCGAGAAGTGGGCGCACCGTACAAAGAGTCACACAGCAAGCGGTTTCGTGACCGTGTTATGGGCGCACGAGATGGTCTCTGTAATGATGATCGGGTGCTTCTTCTTGCACGCGAGAAGGGTGAATGCATGGCTGAGCTACGAGAAAAAAGTGTGCAGATCAAACGGCTTGAAGTGACCGTTCGTGCCCTGCGTGCGCAACTGGCACGAAGTACATCCAAGATTGGGGTCCCTCTTGCCGAGCACGAGAAATTTACCGATGATGCACGAGTGTCGCGTCTCGTGGATGAGAACAACGGTTTAGAAACGCGCTTGCGTGAGGCGAATGCCAAACTCTCGACGTGGAAGCGTGAAGCCCGCGTCGCCCACCTGCAGGAGTTGAAAATGGAGCTCGCAGTTTATAAGGCAGAGGTGACTCGCCTCTTATCCACGACGCAGGGCGGTCTGGAGAGGGAGTTGCGGAGGAGCTGCATCGAGTCTCGCCTTCGCGAGGCTGTTGACGCGGCCAAAGCAAAAGATGACGTCATTCAGGAACTAAGGAGAAAACTTTCCGAGAATGCTGCGGCAATGGGACGCTCCTTAGAGAGTGCCATGTTGAGCCAGAGTACTGTGGATCAGCTGCAGGAAGAAAACAGATCACTTTGCGAAGAGCTGCACGTGCTAAGGAAGGCGGCGGTTGAGCTAACGCACACAAGAGAAAAGTTGGAATGTGCCCGTGCGGAGCTCAAGGAGGCAAGGGAGAGGTTTCATGAGCTCAGGCGGCTTGTGGGAACAGTGGGTGGCCCTGCTGAGATCTTTACCGTCATCAAGGAGCGTGATGCTCTGCTGAATTTGTTGAAGGAGCAAAACGCGCGTGAGGAAGCTCAGAGACGGGAGTTTGCACGCCAACAGGCGGATGCAAGGCAGAGCGCGGAGAAATGTCTTCAAAAAGTCCTGCAGGAGGAGCGCGCCGTGGCTGGGGAAAAGGTGGCCCAACTTGGGCATAGCTGCATGATGTGGAAGGAGAGTTATGAACGCTTGGCACTCGGTGGTGCCACCGAGCGGGATCGCCTCGAAACAGCGATGCAGGCCGAAAAAGGAAGACAAGAAGAACGGCAGCGTGACTTGTGTTTGCTGCTGAGCAGAATTCCGTTGCATTCGAGCGAGCAGAGCCAACCAAGTGCGGCCCATATACCAGCTTCCTTGGAGCCACAGCCGGTCAAGGCGCTAACTGCGTCAGCGCGGTCCTCGTCCCAAACGGGCATGTCATCGACATCAACCCTCTCAAAATCGAATTCGCCGTCTTCGAGAACTAATCATGTTGGCAGTGATGACAAGAAAGGCAGAAACTCTCCTACAGGGGCGGTTCAGCAAGAGGGAAGTTGCCGTGGTAGCATCAACAGCAAGGCTGGACGAGGAGGAGCTTCGTCAAGCCAACAAGCGTGCCTTGAAGGTGAGGATTACAGTAACTCTAGTAGGCGCGCCAAGGCTCTTCAGGGGCCCTTCACTACCGCAGCCTCCGGCACCAGTGGAGGGGATGAAATCTCCACGATTTTGGAAAAAGGAAGTCCCCGTCTGCCAGAGGCAGAAGATGAAGTGGCAAACATAGAATCAAACGAACGTGGGAATGAGCAGGGGGTTCCCCTCACTCCATTGGAAGTTAGTGGCGCCGGTAAACCGACGTCAGTGCTCTCTTTAACGGGGAACAGATCTGCATTGTCAGACACCGCGTCAGTGCCTCTGGCTAGCGCCGACAGAAGCTCGGAGCCATCTCTTCCAATACATGTCCAGGTGCCGCCGCCGCCGCCGGCTGTTGTACCCGCGCCTCCGGCCGATAGCACTTCTTCTTCTTCTTCTGCTGCTGCTGACGGGGACACGGATTCGGAGCCGTCTCTTACTATACGTGTACAGAGGCCATCCACGCCACGCAGTGGCGAGCGCAGTTCTGGGAACCAGTATAGAGCGTCTCCTGTCTTTTTAGTTTCTGGCTTCTCTGACGTCGTCGGGGATGCTACTGCTGAAGAGGTTCGCCCGAAAAATCGCTATCAAGAGGAGGATGTGTGGGAAACGGTAAGCGCTGCTGAGGACGAGGAGTCTTTCACTGTGCACCATGTAGGATCATGAAATTAAAATCATCGAACTCCGATAAGGCAGACTATTTTGTAGTTTTATTGGCACCAGTTATTATAGATGATGCAGGAGCCTGATGTTATGTTCTTTGTCTCGTTTCTTCTTTTTTCTTTTCAAAGATAGAAGTTTGTCGAAGCAAATTGCGACCAGGTGGGGTCAAATGCCCGAGAGAGTGTCTTGCCGAACTTCCCCTGTGTTTGTTTACCTCTGACTTGATGCTTTTTGTTGTTTCCAAACATGCCGCGTCGGATGCAGCGGGGGCGAGGTTATTAGTATTGTTCCTCCCACTTTGACCCCACACTTTTACTCTCCACGTGGAAAGTTCCGGCGGTCGCGGTAACTCCTAAAGACCACGTCTTTGTGAGTTCATAACGCGAGCCAGGCAATTATAGAGCGTTCTTCATTTTGTCTCTGCATTGGGGCGGTTCCGTGTGCGGAGTATTGTCCGAGTTGGGGGACGTTGGGCGCGCGCCGCACCAAATTGTCATCCTCGTTCTGATACTTCTTGTTTCTGTGAGCAGCGAGACAAGGCCCCCATTGCAAGTACGCTTTTTTCTCTTTGCGCTCTTTTTTTTTTGCTTCCACAGGCTTTTTGTCTTCCACGTGACAAACCGAATTCCTCTTTGCCACGCTTTTTGCCAAGTTGTTCTGCGGAGTGTTATGTTCATTATTTCTTGCGCACACCTTCGGTAGTTTTGATGCGCACCAGTGAGTGTCTCTAGCGGTTTGCCTGCGCACAGATGCCACTTCCTTTTATGACTGTGACGCTCGCGACAATATTTTGTGGCTCTGCGAGGCGACGAAGAATCTGTCCCGTGGCCCCGGTTGGGATGATTTTTTTTTTTGGCGTTTAACGTCCCGCTTGTTAATAGTTTTTCTGCTTTCGGCCGTTGTGATGGCCGCCAAGGTGTGCGGGTGGTATCCGCATTTGTATCAGCGGCGCGTATGTTCATTCTTTGCAGCTTTGCTGTTGTCTATTCATTTCCCTTTTTGTTTTGTTTTTGTCCTCTTCTGCTTGCGCAGCCTACTTTTTGGATCGGTTTTTAAGCTAAGCCTAAATGTTGCGCTTCTCCGGGCGGCTTCTACTTGCCGCCACGTCCACGCTGTTTTCTCAGCAGGCAGTTGGCATTACAACCTCCATCTTTCCTGCCCGCTATGTTCAGGGGCCTGGTGCACTGAACTTGCTGGGTGAGGAGCTTGCGCGCCTCGGCAAGAAGGCCCTTGTGGTGCAGGACCCCCAGGTTGAAAAGTTGTACGGGAAAAAGTTGCAGAGCGTGTTGTCGGGAAAGGTGTCCGCGGTCATGGAGTTGTTGAAGGGAGCTGTCTGTGACGAAGAGATCAAGCGCATTTCCAGCCACAATGACGTGGACCTCGTCGTGGGAATTGGCGGAGGGTGCACGATGGACACGAGCAAAGCAGTTGGCTACGAACTGAAGGTTCCCACGGCAGTGGTTCCGACACTGGCGGCCTCGGATGCTGCTTGCAGCGCCCTTTCTGTGATCTATACAAAGGACCATGTTTTTGACCGCTACCTCTTTGTCCCGCATAATCCTAATTTGGTGCTTGTCGACAGCGAAATCATTGCGAAAGCGCCTGCGCGCTTTCTCGTGTCAGGAATGGGCGATGCGCTCGCGACTTGGTTTGAGGCGGAGTCCTGCTCTCTCGGCCACAAGCCCAACATGACAGGCCGTCTCGGCTCGGCCATGGGGCTGAGCCTTGCCCGTCTCTGTTACGAGACGCTGCTGGAGTATGGCGTGCTGGCCAAGCAGGCTTGCGAATGCGGGGTTACGTGCCCCGCTTTGGAGCGAGTGATCGAGGCCAACATCTTTCTCTCCGGCATTGGCTTTGAGAGTGCGGGACTCGGTGGGGCGCATGCCATCCACAACGGCCTCATGGTGATTCCCGAGGCGCACAAATGCTGGCACGGCGAGAGGGTCACCATTGGCCTCTTGGCCACCCTCCTGCTCACCAACAGGCCGCCGCAGGTGATTGACACGGTCTATGGGTTCTGCGAGAGCGTTGGGCTTCCGACGACACTTGCCGACATTGGGTGCGGCGATGTCAGTGACGAGGTGCTTTTGCAGGCGGCAACTGTGGCCTGCGCCCCAGAGGACACCATGCAGAATGAGACTGGGACCATAACGCCCACCGCTGTCTTTAACGCCATGAAGATTGCCGACTATATCGGCCGCTCCCGAGCACAGAAGAAGCATTAGGGTGAGACGATGGGAATGATTGTTTGCGTGGTCTACGGAAAAACAAAAAAAACAACAACAACAACAAAAGCAAGGAGAGAAGAAAATTGGCGCGGTACGAAAAGGAGAAGGCGCGATTGGCCAACGGGGTGCCGGAAAATCTGCACTCCTCTTCCGTTATATATATGACGCGACTTTATTGGGCACGAAAGGGAAATTATTTTATCGATTCTGGGGAGGGGAGGGGGGGGGGTGGGGATAGAGGA